GAGTTTCTGATGGGCTGTCTGCACAGTGGCTTTGGCTACTGCTGTGTCATTGAGCTGCTTTGCAGCTGCTGTGGCTGTGACAGTGGCTGTCATGGGCGACCTGTATGGTGGTGGTGTTTTTGGCATGCTCCTTGCCTGCTTCCAGGTGGAGAATGCTGCCCTTGGCTCCTGCCTAGGACCCCAGGTGTGCTCTGCTTCTTGCCTGCTTCCAGGCAGTGGGGGGCTTCCCTCAGCTCCTGCCCAGTCTTTCATTTCACTGAAGTATTTTATTTAACCAAAGAGATTCACCATGAGTTTTTCTTAAATAGCATGCTCCTATTCCTTACATTAAACCTACAATATCTGTTAACTTACCAAATGCTAATATAAACCAAGCTTTTTAGGAACACGTCTGTTGAATAAAATAAATCATACATATACAAATTGTGAATGCACATATATAAATAGCAAAACTAAGTATATTATTGTAGGAAAGCTAGAGAGTAAAATAATAAGAAACTCCTGTTTAGAGTTAAAAGTATATAATTAAATACTGGGCCCATGGTAAGTATGCAATGAAAAATATATGGATTGCATTATCATGTTAATTATAGGCTCTTGTATATGTGATCATTGAGTCATTTTTGTCTTTGAAGACTATGTATTTCACAAATCTACTCTATTTTATTCATCTAGCCTATTTTAGTAATGTCAGGATTATTTTATAATATCTTTTGTTTCTATCATATGGCAATATATTCAGTATACTTAGAGTTCAGTTTATGTTGTATATGCCATTTCTTCTCAAAATATTCTCCAGAAAAAAACAATTGAGCAGAAGCAGACAGGCTGTTCTAGGACATCCCTTCCTTTAGAGACATGAGTTTCTCCAAAAAAAGATTGGATTCCAAATTGGTCAAATTGCTTCTTCTGTACAGTACAGTGACATGCTGTCTTGTTACAGTGGAACATGTGCTCTCATTTCAGATGAGCTGTTCTGTGAAAAAGTTTTATTTAGCCTGCATAGCCAATCCCCGGGTTTGTGGGTGTTACCTCCTTTCCGTGCTACCAGTTTTTTTCATCATCATGATTGCTTCTGTTCCGTCAGCTGTAACACAGTTTAGTAGCAACCTTTTTAAAAAACAAGCTGTTTCTCAAAATAGACAGAACAGTTGGCTAGACAGAAAAGAGATATCAACAAAAGTAGGTCTGTTCATCTGTGTGCTTCTCTCTGAACCACTTCTGAGACATACAGTCATTGAGTGAGAATCTGTGTGTTCTAACACAAATTTTTATCCTATTTTATTAAGGAAATCAAGTGATATGAAAACTAATTTGCTTCAGAGAGTACTGATATGTTTTATGTTTGTTCAAACTGAGGAGTTTAAGAAAAGGCATTGGCTAGGTTTGTTTGTTCACTTTTTTATAATGAGAAAACTTTAAGTTCCATAAGTAAATGAATACTTTAATTTAAATAAAGATAAACAGATGGATCCAGTTGTATATTCACGGTCTGATTGTAGAGCTGGTTCAGCCAAGAGGAAATCACGGTTTTATCGTGTGTCTTTTTTTGTTGTTTTTGTTTTTGTTCTTTTCCCCTCTGCGCATCAACTAAAACAAAAATAGGTCATGCGATATTTACTCTCTGACAAACTAACATTTTTCAGCTGCTCAGACTTCCCTATAATTAGCAGGAATGACCAATATGGAACAAAGGGACAAGCCCCTCTAATCACTTCTTTGTCAAGCAGAGAGGATGTGACACCGCTTTCAGAGCACAACTTAAAAGATGCCTGAAAAATAGCCAGCCCCTCAGCCATTTAGCATCCCACTGTTGTCCATAGTCGGCAAAGCTTTGTCAAATGCCTGTTAGAACACTGCTCTGCAGAAATCTCCATTCTCAGTATAATGACAAATTCAGATGCCATCTCTGCTTTCTGATTTTACCTCTATGTCTTGACTCTCTTCCTATAGTACATATAAATACACCAGTAAGATTTTTAAAATGCACATTTGATTTGCATTTGTAATATCTATTAATTATTCTTGAACAAGTTGTCTTTATTTCTAAACCTTTTTCTATAAGGGATTAAACTAAGTTTTACCAAGTCACACTGTATCACCACTTTCTCCTTCTCTTAAAATTCTAGAGCAGAGCTTGTTAATGTGGGTGCTTGGACCAGGCGTGTCTGAAAGGGCTGCAGGATGTTATGAACTACCAGAAAAGTTACAAAATTGTGTGTGTGTCTCCACATGCCTGTTGTTGGGGGGGCGGGAGGGGATGCCTTTCTCCAGATTCACAAATGGACATATAATTACCCAGATTTGAAGAACAACTTCCCCCTGGATTTTCTCCCTCCCATATCTATTAGTTAGGAAGTGCTAAATTGTAACACATGCCACTCCTGGGTTCTACCAAATAGATTTTGTTACCACCTTTCTATTTCCATTATAGTTCACTCCTGGCTTAATATTTTCTCTTATCTTACTGAATTTTGTGCCTCTGTGTCCCAATTTAAATAACAAAGAGCAAGAAACCAGATATTATACACTAAACTATTTCCATTATAGTTCACTCCTGGCTTAATATTTTCTCTTATCTTACTGAATTTTGTGCCTTCTGTGTCCCAATTTTAATAACAAAGAGCAAGAAACCAGATATTATACACTAAACCTCTACCAGTAACAGTGGTTGGCATTTTCTTTATGTATCATCTCCTTTAATGCCACTACAACCCTACAAGTTAGATAGTATCCTTATTTTTACAAATGAGAAAACCGAAGCTCAAAGAGATTAGTTATTCCCACAGCCTATCAGCGGCAAAATCCAGATTTAAATCTGTGTTTTAATTTAGAGTTTATTTCTTCCCCAAAGTCTATCTGGACAGGGTGAATGGCCATACATTATTAATGGCCATCTTCTTTCATAACATATAACTCTTACATTTGATTATTGTTCTCTGTTATCAAAAAATACTTTCATTACACTTTGTGCATAAATCTAGCACAAATTTACAAATGCAGGTATTGCTATATCTGCATCAATGTTGTGATATTATCTCAAACCATCACAGATGGTAAGAAACATTTGTGCATTCATTAGTGTATTCACTTTAACTTTTTAATTTTATTTTATTATTTTATTTTTGACTGGTAAGGGGATCGCAACCCTTGGCTTGGTGTTGCCTGCACCGCGCTCAGCCAGTGAGCGCACCGGCCATCCCTATATAGGATCCGAACCCATGGCCTCGGCGCTGGAGTGTCGCTGTGCTCACAGCGCCGCACTCTCCTGAGTGAGCCACAGGGTCGGCCCAGTGTATTCACTTTTAAAAATAACATTTATTAAATTCTACTATTGTCAGGTGTTTCACTATGTTCTAGAACATAGTGTTTTTAAGACCTACCTTCACATTAGATTCTACTGGAAAACTTTTAAAAAATATCAATACCTGGCCTTGGCACGAGAAATTCTGGTTCAGTCAATGGAGATGGAACACAGGCAGCGTATAAGCTTTTCCAGCAGCAGCCAACTTTGAGAACCACTGTTCTAGAGTAGTGATTTGTCAAAATCACTGTGGTCACCCCAACCAGCAGCAGCAGCATAACCTGAGAACCTGTTACAAAGGCAAATTCTGAGATGTTTCCCCCTGCACACGCACCTACTGTACCAGTACTCCAGGCGTAGAACCCTGCAAACTCTAACAACCCCCCTGGATGTTTCTGATGCAAGCTAATGCATAAGAAACCTGCTTCTCTAAAAACACAGAATAAATAAGGTAAAGTACTTGCCACTAAATACTTCTCCTTGGTCTCAAGAAATTCCAAGTTGTTTCAAATTTGCATTTTTATTAAGTAGCATAGTTTCACAACCTGTAAGTTTAGTGGATAATGATTTCTGTTTAAAAGTGCAACGGTTTTTCATGTCTCCTTGGGCAGCCATTGAATGAAGTGTTTGAGAGTAGTAGTTGGTGAATAACACTGATTAACAAAAGTCTTATGAACCTTACGGGCTGAACTACATTGTCATGGTATTTTGTAACACACACACACACACACACACACACACACACACGGAGGGGGAGAGAAAGAGAGAAGAGAATTATAAAGTATAATATCATACAGTGCAGATATTTCTAATAAAGAACTTTAAAGTGGTCTTTGTGTTGTGTTTCATTCTAGATAATGCCATTATTACGTTATACTTGCTACTCTCTCATCTTTATTAATACAACTTTTTTACAGCTTTATGACAGTATAATTGACAATCAACAAACTATACATCTTTAAAGCATTTAATTTGATAAATTTTGACACATATGTACACTAGTATCATGAAAGTGTACTTAGTGAAATGAACAGGGGAAATATTTGTAGGGGAGCTTCCATTTCTATTACAGGTATTTATTACTTGTGTAAGTTTCCCCCCTCTGATTCTAATGGCAGAGTGAGATTTCAGAGAAGGCTTCCTGATTAAGGTAACATGAGCTGAGACTTATAAGGCAACTAGATATCAGCCCAAGTGAATAAAAAAGAGGAGGATTTTACAAAATAGAAATAAAGCTCACCTCACCTATTTGAAGTCTAGACTCTTGTGATTGTTTTTATTCATCACGTAGGTTTTTGAAATACTTACTCCTTTGTTTCTTAAAATTCCATTTGAGATGAGCTTAACAGGGTCAGTGAAATAAACAGCACTGTTAGTAAGAGTAGCAATCTCTGTTTCAATCTCTGCGGTTAGTTTCTTGCATTAGGATAACCGGTTTAGCTTTGACCACCAATGCACTTTCAAATGTGTGTTTCTTTGTTGTGGGTATTATAGAGAACGGTGTGCATAAAAGTGATATTTTTCCTTTTGTAGCAATGAAATCTAATACATTGCCTTTCACTTCCTTTTAACTTTTTTTCTTTTTCCTCCTGAACGAATTATTACATCCCTAAATATTCATTTATTGTTACCCCCATGTGCTAATACCCGGACTTTACTTTTTGTTCTCAAATTTGCATGTTTTCCTCCATTGCAGGTTGGCTCCATGAGTTGGGAAAGAGACTCGAATCTCCATACTATAGCAACAATACCTTGGGGGGCCCATCGATCCGAAGTGCCTATATTGCCGCTCTGTACTTCACCCTCAGCAGCCTCACCAGCGTTGGGTTTGGGAATGTCTCTGCCAATACAGATGCAGAGAAGATCTTTTCCATCTGCACCATGCTGATTGGTGGTAAGAGAACTTTTACTTATAAGAAGAAAAGAAACATGTGTCTGTTCGCTCTGTCCTGAAATACAATAGAGATAAATTTGTTTTCATGAAGATTCTAAAAGCACTCATTAAGAAATCAGTGACAAACGTTTCAATATACATGAAGATTAGGAATGAAAGTCTGTGATGTTAACAAATTTCATCTTCTGGACAGATAAATAAACAACCATTTACCTGGTTTATTTTTAAAAGGCAGGCACTTTGTTTTCCTAACATGCTGTTTACCTCCTGTCGGGCAGGAATCTCAGGTCCTTCTGCCCCTTCCTGTGCAGGCCGTGAGTCAGGTAATCGAAAGAAGATTCTCTGAGCTTTAAGCAAGGTAGACATACTTTATTCTTCAAATATGAGCTTCACAGACATGCTTTATTCTCAGACATGAGCTCTGGCTCTACTCTACTCCATGCTCTGCCAACCCTTTGTGCTCTGCTGACCTTCCAGGCTCTGCTGACCAGCAGTTCAGAGCAGTTACATTTATACTTTCAGTACATAATAGCAGCCACAAGCCAAGCATTACATAATTACAACCATCATGCTGAATCAGTAAATGGGCGCACATGCACAGTTACACTACTTTTATAACTTGTTTCTAGCAAACGTGCTGAGTCTTGCCCACTTGTAACAGATGAGAGGCAAGAGATCCTGACTAAACTTTTCTGCTTTCCTTACACCTTTTGTGAGGTACGTGAGTTATGTGACGTTTATGTTTCAAACTCCATTTTATAGTCCCAAACAGGTCAGTGTTATCAAATTTTATTAATAGTAATGCAGTAATTAAAGGTGTTCAATGGATCATTTTGTTAAAAGTAAAAATAAAAAACAAAAAACACCAATATGGTAATAAATAATTGACATTTCTTAATTGCTTTTATTTTCTACTCTCTGTACTAAGTGCTTTAATGCAATACCCTAAGTAATTTTTACAGCAAATCTATGGGTTTGGCACTAATATTATCCCACTCAACAAGTAGACAATTTATTTTACTGTTTCCTCTTAACTCTAAACCTATATCAAATTTTATTAATAGTAATGCAGTAATTAAAGGTGTTCAATGGATCATTTTGTTAAAAATAAAAATAAAAAACAAAAAACACCAATATGGTAATAAATAATTGACATTTCTTAATTGCTCTTATTTTCTACTCTCTGTACTAAGTGCTTTAATGCAATACCCTAAGTAATTTTTACAGCAAATCTATGGGTTTGGCACTAATATTATCCCACTTAACAAGTAGACAATTTATTTTACTGTTTCCTCTTAACTCTAAACCTACCCTTCTATACTCTACTTTGTAATGCTGGGGCTTGTTCTCTGCAAACCTCATTCTTCTTTGTCAACTGACTTCGGTGACTTCTGCCAAAAGGGGACTCCAGAAGGAGACTAACAAGCAGGAGGAGGAGGGGAATGACTGCTGTTCCTTCAGTGGAGACAGGTCACCTCAGCAGCAGCAGATGGTTTCAGCATTCAGCCTCTTTAGGCACTCCCAGAACCTGCCTCACTGGGCCCCCTTAGAGATCCCTGCATCAGGAGGAGGTGCCACCATGTCCAAAGTCAGAGCCCTGACTCACTGAGGCTCCTCCCAAGCTCCTCTTCTGGGCTTCTGTGTTCCGATAACATGCCTTCGTCCCTTTGTCTATCCAGCTCTAATGGTGGCAGAGCCTTCTGCAATTAGTACATCCATGTTACCACTAGGCTCTGTTTTGGCTCATTCAGCCCTCCAACACCAAGGAAACCAATTCTCTATAATAAATTCCTGCAGTTAATAATTTAGTATAATTTCTCCTTTCTGAGCCTCCTACCTGATACAGGATCGATGCTATTAGTTTCCACATTTTTCAGATGACAAATCTAAAACTTGGAGAATTAAAGTAACTTTCCCAATACCACACAACCAATAAGTAAAAGAGGCAAGGTTTAAATACTTCTCTCTTTAAATACATAGAAAGAAACTTTACTGAATTATGAGACTGTGGTCATGGGGTAGTAGGAAATGTGGGGTCTACCTGGATCAATTAAGCATTCTTTCTAGACCAACTTTCTACTAGTCTTTTCCGCCATATAGTATATCCCCCAACGCCTGTATTAGCATGTTCTCTTAATGGCCTTAATCCCAGATATTACTTAGAGTTCCAAATCTTACAATAGAAGATGGTTCCTACAAGTTTCCTTGCATGGGAGATGTGATATGAGTATAGGGGACTTCACACTATTAGTTATCCAGCACACAGTGAAATCAGAGAGGTATATAACCAGACCTTCTTTCAAGGAGCTTATGATCCAGTCTGGAGGAAATAGGCTGAAATATGTGAACAGAACTTTGGCAGTACCAGGCAGTAAATGCTCAGTGCCAAATCAGTTAGGAATTTCAGAAGCAGTAAGAAGTGAGGACCAGGGATCAGGAGAATTTCTTGGAAAGACAGTGCTTGTGGCAGAGTTGCTGAAGTAGCATGCTGGGCTGCAGCAATTTTAACAAGCTCTTAGCTGATGCTGAGCAGTAACAGCCTAGGAAGCAGAGACCAGGAATTCTCATTTTCTGAAAAGCTTCAGTGAGCCAGACCTCCTGGTGGTTGTTTCATATCCAGTATTATGACTTATATAATTTCCACTCTCCTTGATGGCCCATCTTACAGCCTAGCAAAATGACAAGCATTTTGCAAATAAACACAGTCCATACTTATTTAATATTTGCCCATGTTTCTTCTACTTCTAATAGAAATGTTGGGAAATGCTCACATGCTCAAGGTTTATGCCTACTAATTTGACATTTGAAAAATCTGCTAAATAATTGAGCTAATTTCAATTGTTGATCCACTTACTATATTGTGAGTGGTCCTCAATCAGAAATTGAGGCATAAACTATTCCCTGCTTTCACTGTAATACACTGGTGACAAGGCCAAAAGATATGGGAACTAATATGATAACGTCACTTTGTCACTTGTTTGTTAAATGGTTATTGAGCAAATTTCCTGGTGCAAAATCAGTACTCATTTGCAAGTGGCATTAAAACATTTAGTTGACTTGAGTAGCACTTAAAAACAATTGCTTTTGAATGCCAAATGGCATCTAAGTGACTTGAATTTGCTAGTTAAAGCTTCCCAAATTTGTGTTTGTGGAGAATAACTTTGTATTACTATGAAAATTACAGTAGGCTAAACGAGATGATGCCCATTTTTTAATATCCCTAATTAACTAATTACTTGCATAACACTGAGAACTAATCATAAGAGCTCACAATATTGAGAACTTCTTCATTTAATTCTTATAACACTGTGAGATAGAGATTATTAATATCCAACTTTAGACATAAGGAAGCAGAGATTTAGTGAGTTTAAATGGCAGGACTCAGTAAGACCTGACAAACCTCTTGTAAAATATCCATTTCACTATATACTATACATTAATTTTACTCATTTAATTTATATAAATATGCACAAATAATTTACTTTCAAAAAGATAAATATTAAGTGTATATTGACATGGACCTAGGTCTAGGGTATCTTATTAGGAGTCCCCACACAAGGCTAATGGAATTAGTAATGGCAGGGATGCAATGTTTATTACATTGTAGTAAACTGCCTACAAGTAGGCAGTAGCAATATTTAATGAGAAGGGGACTGCCATAACCCCAGGTGACAATCTAGAGCAGAGATACACAGAGGCTGGGTGAGGAGAAATAGGTGACAAAGTGCTGAGTGGACCAATTTGGGAACTCACAAGAATGTTCCCAGAAGTTGTACAGGTTTTATCTTTTATGAATATTAACCTCCCATTTAAGGTACCATATAAGCATCTGTAATTATGGAATGTGCTAGTATATAGGAAGAATATTTAAAACTATAAGACAGAGATTAAGCAAAAATAATTTTTTTTTCCTTTTTGTCTTTTTTCGTGTCCGGCAACGGATCGCAACCCTCAGTGTCACGCCCGGACCAGACCGGGACCGGCTACGGGATCGTAACCCTCGGTGTTGCGCCCGCACCTCACTCAGCCAGTGAGCGGGAACCGGTCTGTATGTGGGATCCGAACCCTCGGCGGGAGCGCCGCCACACTCCCAAGCGGCGCACTGTAGCAGTGCGCCACCGGGCTGGCCCTAAGCAAAAATAATTTTGAAAAATACCTAGACAACTCTATGTGAACTTTAGGAGCACCTAAAACAAAGAAGTCATCCTAAAAGCTTCAGATGACTATTAGAATTAATAAGTCAATTTAGTAAGATTGAGTATACTACATCAATAAGCAAAAATAAATTTCATTTCTACATACTAGTAACAAATAATTAGAAAACAAAATATAAAAAATAATTATACAAACATCAAATATGTAGGAATGAATCAAATTAACAATCTACAACACTTCTACCCAGAAAACTACAAAATATTTGTGAGAGAATTTTAAATTATTTAAAATAATGGAAGTATATACAATGGTAATGGTTGGTGATGATGGATTCAATATTGTAAAGATGCCACTTTTATCTAAACTACTCTAAAGATTCAATGCAATCCCAATAAAAATCCCAGTAGATGTATGTGTGTGTTTGAAAATGGATGAGCTGCTTGTAAAAATTAGTGAACATGAAAAGACCTAAAACTAATCAAAGCAATCATGAAAAATAACAAAATTGAAAGACTTGCACTACAGATATTAAGATGTATTATAAAGTTAAAGTAATTAATAAAGGGCCGGCCCAGTGGCGCACTGCTACAGTGCGCCGCTTGGGAAGCGCGGTGGCGCTCCCGCCGAGGGGTCGGATCCCACATACAGACCGGCCGCTCATTGGCTGAGCGAGGTGCGGGAGCAACACCGAGGGTTGCGATCCCATTGCCGGGCCCGGTCCGGTACGGGCGCGACACTGAGGGGTGTGATCCGTTGCCGGTCATGAAAAAAGACAAAAAAAAAAAAAAGTAATTAATAAAGGGCCGGCCCAGTGGCGCACTGCTACAGTGCGCCGCTTGGGAAGC